CGGGCTGCCCTTGCCGGTCCTCTCCACGAGCGGAGCCACGGCCCTTCTCCGCTCCGGCCGGAGCGCCTGGGACCATCGCCCCGTCTGCAGGCACCGGGGGGCCGGTGGGTGGGCATCCGCGGTAGCTGTTAAGTGTCTCTCCAGTACGCGGCTGTCCTCGCAGAGTGCCGGTTCCGGTTAGGAAGGCTGCTACGGAACTCCGGTGGGCTTAATTTTCCTGCTCGGTGCCCCGGGCGTGTGCCGGAGCACCTCGGCCGGCGTGAGGCAGGGCAGGGGGAGGAGGGAGCGCCCGGCTGCTGCCGGGGCTGGCTGCGGCGCTTCTGTTCATGCCCTGGTGCAGAAACTTCTGCACGTGGTTATTGCTCTGTAGAGGAAACCAGATGGATTTTAACTTCTCGTACTGCTCCTTTGTGAGGTTGGGAAGAAACCCAGCAAGTTTCTTTTCAGAGAGGGAGCTGTTCAGGCGTTATGGTGGAGTGGACCGGGTGGGATTTAGAGTTGGGGTTTCTTTGTCTGCATGTGGTGAGCAGTAGTGCATTCCGAGCAGGAGCAGCGTGTTCTGCTTTCCGTCTCGCTGCCAGGTCCTGGGACGCCACGGGGTTCGTGCTAGAGGACTTTAGGTAGGGTGTCAGGATTTGGCTCCGCAAAAATGATAGTATCGCTGCAGATTCAGCAGTGGGAAGCGGTGTTGGTTAAATCGCTGGGATGTTTAGCAGATTTCCTCTCCTTCAGCTGTTTCACTGATTCTAAACAAAAACGCAACCACCACCATGTAATTACAGAGTCGTCTTAAAATGAGCCTACATCAGGGATGTGTCACTAATTTGAAAATACTTAATTTTTCATTTGATTTAGGCTGAGACCTGCATGCTGCAGAGCTGTTAAGAAGTAGGGCAGGGAGTCTGTTGTTAGTGTTAAAGTAGTGTTTACTACCGGGCTGCTGTGACAAGCAGCCTGTTGAAGTGTAATTATAAATCAAAGTCTTGGTTCAACCTCTGTTCCTAGATAAAATCTGTATCTGTAATTTACTGACCACTTCTTGTCTTTTACATACAAATGTTATTATTTCTAAGGAAAAAATGCCTGAAGGGAGTTGACTCATTATTCAAGATGAACATTTGCTCACTGACTGTAAATTACCTCTGCTGAAGTATTTGAGGCTTGCATAATTTCCAACACCAAATAGAGAAATCAGAGATGTCATTTATACATTTTAATATTTTTGTAAGATTCCGGACTGAGCTAATTGTCAGAAACTGCAAAAGCACATGTTTACAGAGACACTGCCTGTTAGTAAATGATGATAATTGCTTGTAAGGGTGTTTGTTCGACTAGTCCATGTGTGAACTCATCTCAGCAACCACAGTGGAGGAAAAAGATATTTATAGATATGTATCTTTGTTCTGTTTGGGGAAATATGTTAGCTTATCTTAAATGTGAATTCGCATACTTTGAATGCTTCTCAATAGATGACATAGTGGTGATAAAAGCAATGTTACTGGAACAGTTAAAGACCGGCATATGTGAAGTCTGCAAGCGCTTGTAAGAAATGGTATTTCCCACTGAAAGACCAAGTCTTCTGTTTTGGAGGGGTAAAATGCTGAGTGCCATACTCAGTAGCGGTTTGAGAATGGCTCTTATAATTTATTTTTTTTTACGGTGGTGTTTGTTACTATGGATGTGGGTGGGCTTGAGTGACACGCAGTGATCTGTTCCTCCCCTCTGCATGTGTTCTGTAGCTCACTAGCCTCCAATGTGTGCATAATTCAGGGTGGTTTTTTTATGTTTGTCTCTATTTTGTTGTGGTTATGGGCTCATTCTGAATGATGCTGAGCAAATGGTGCTCGCTGGAGTACAGAGTCTGCTGAAAGATCTGAATGTCTTGTGTTTGCAGCCTCTGACATGAATGTTACCTGCCCTATTTCGGAACTCTGTGTGCATGAAAAAAAAAAGTTTTCAGTATACTCTGAATTCCCCCTATATGTGAGGGGGAAAGGAGAGGAACTGTGTTTCTATAGAGATCCTGACATGCCTAGACTGTGGTGTCTATGCATTCACTTAGTTAGGATGGAGAGGTGGGGGGCAATGAGCACCTTTATATCCTGGTGACTCTATTGTCTCTGATCAGTGGGTGTTTAGCTCCTGTCCTGCTCCCTGGCAAGGAAACCTTGCAGGAGTAGGTCCTCAATGTGAGGAAAGCCAATCTGTAGAGATCCAGTGAATGCTTTGCACTGCATTGTAATAGTATATTATGATGGTGCTTTGCTGGTAAAGGGTTCGTCTTCCCATCTGTGTCTCAAAACTGTTGATGTGCTAGTATTTCAAGCCATGACCCTTTCTGTAATCCCTGAGTTCCAGCAGGTTTTGACCTCTATATAGTCAGTATAATCTTTTTGGCTATAGATTAAGTGGGTAATTTTAGTCTGAGATTAGTGCTCAGGATCCTTGAATGCCATCTGAGTCTTTATTTGCTAGACAATACAATTGCATTAAAGGTAACTTAATTTTCCTTGTAAAAGGATTTGTGTTGTGAAGATGTACCAGCTTCCTTAAGTTCTTTTGTGCTTAGTGTGTTTAATAGATTGGTCTAGGGAGCATTGGTAAAATAACTTTCCAAACTTTTGTGTAGTACAGTGAGACAGATACTCTGCCCTGTGGCTCTGATGGGAAGGATTCCTCTCTCTGTTAGAGGATTTTGGATTGAGCATTGTGTACTGAGCTGTGTTGCTTCTTCTTTTCAATCTCAGCTAAATTGCATCAGGAAGTCATGTTCCAGATTAAAGGAAATGGGCTTTGGTACTTTTGCAGTAAAGTGTCTCTTTGTTCCTTAATTGATGTTGGTTTGAGGGGCTTTTTTGCTGTGACTGAAGGGAAAGGTGTAACACAAACTTGCTGTTTGATGTGAGGAATCAATTATTCTGTACATTAGCACAGGTAGCGAGGAGGATGGTACTGGCTATGCTGCAGTTAATCTGCCCGTGTTGTATATTGCATATGCACAAATAGGTTGTCCTGAAATGGAGTCTGCTGCCAAAATTAATTATATAGGGTTTTGATTTTGTTGAAGGTTCTGGTCATATGAATCTAGAAAAATACATATATGTATTTTAAAATGCCATTTTGTTGGGGTTTTTTGAGGCTTGTAAAGCTCTTGTGTCACCTTGAAGCATGAAATGTGGGAATAGAGTTTTACAGTTCTGTACTGCTTAAACATGCTTAGCAATATGAAAATGTTTGAGTCTGTGAGAGAGGGAAGTGTATCCACATTAAAAACCTGCACAGGCGGCCCCAGGTCATGCTCTGACTTTGAGCATTGGGTGCTTCCCAGCTAGGCTTTTGCCCTGTTCCTTATTTGAAGGCGCAGTAAAGGGGACGCTGGGCATGTGAATATCACAGTATTTAGGGAAGTTTGGTTCTCTTCTTTCTCCAAGCTTCCTCTGCAGTGTGGGGAGAGAGGAGTGAGATTATTACAGCAGCGGTCACAGCCACAGCTTGCACTGGGCTGCGTGTGCTTCATCTCCTATTACTTGCACTGTGGCTTTTTGGCCATTAGCTTTATATGGCTGCCAATATTCCTCCCTTTCCATACACTCCATACTGTTTTGGCTTGACTTAATTGAACCTGAAAACTTGCTGCTGTAATCGTACATAGGCCTGAGTATCCTGGCAGATGACAGCAACGTTCACCTCCACAAACAGGGACTGAATAGCATTGTGTCTGTTAGGAACAGAGTAGGATGGGATACATCTTGTGTTGCTTGTCTCCTCCAAACCTCAAAATGAGCCAATGTCTTGTGCTCCGTGTACCTGATTCTCGAGGCAACTTCAGAGGCAGTGCCCCGGTGACTTCTGTTGATAGTCAAACACATTTTTTTTGCTGACTCTGCCTGTGTATACATTGTACTACTACAACAGGCGGCTGCTGGCAGAGTTCAAGATGTAATCTCTACAAGTCACGCGTCATATTTTTGTAAAGGTTTTGCAAGTTACAACCTACAAAACTTTGTAAGTTTTAAGTTTATGATTGTTGCTAGGGTTTTATTTTAAAGTTCCCTTTTTTTCATTCTCTGCTGTTGCATATGGAATCATTATACCAAAGGGAAGCTTCCTAATGGGATTAGTAGGTTTTTGTTCCCCGTGCAGCTTTTGACATTCCTTAGGTATTCTGTCTGGTAGCTCTTCCTGCTATGATTCAGTACAGGAGAATGTTTCAAGCATGTGCATGTGTACATATGTAATGAATCAGCTGGTCTAGGTTGGGGAAGGGTGAGAAAATCAGTCCTGGTTCCTTTTCTTTCTCCTCTGACTTGCTTGCTTACTGTATTGCTATGAAAGTTGGAGATCAGGTTTCCCAAGATAAACCTGCTCTTGGGCAACAAATTTAGAGTATGTCATTTGTGAAACTCATCTTACAAAAAAATAAACACATGCCAAAGGTAGATGCAATTTTGTGTCCACTCATGTATAAATTAAGGCGCTTTTTTCCATCTTGTAGTGAATAATAGATACACTTTTTGGTATGTAAAAAATAATAATGAATTTAACTGTCTCATTAATCTTACTAATTTTTTTCTTTTATAGGTGTGAAAGAAAATGTCAGTCAGCATGCATGAAAATCGCAAATCTAGGGCCAGCACTGGCTCCATAAACATATACTTGTTCCACAAGTCATCCTATGCTGATAGTGTCCTTACTCACCTGAACCTTCTGCGTCAGCAGCGTCTCTTCACAGATGTACTTCTCCATGCCGGGAACAGGTCATTCCCCTGCCACAGAGCCGTTCTAGCTGCTTGTAGCCGCTATTTTGAAGCAATGTTCAGTGGAGGACTGAAGGAGAGCCAGGACAGTGAAGTCAACTTTCATAATTCAATTCACCCGGAAGTCTTGGAGCTTCTTCTGGACTATGCGTATTCCTCCAGGGTTATTATCAATGAGGAGAATGCAGAGTCGCTGCTGGAGGCTGGTGACATGCTGGAGTTTCAGGACATTCGGGATGCTTGTGCAGAATTTCTGGAGAAAAATCTTCATCCCACCAACTGTCTCGGCATGCTGCTGCTGTCGGATGCTCACCAGTGCACCAAGCTGTATGAACTCTCTTGGAGGATGTGCCTTAGCAACTTCCAGAGTATCAGTAAAAGCGAAGACTTCCTCCAGCTGCCAAAAGACATGGTAGTGCAGCTCCTTTCCAGTGAAGAATTAGAAACGGAAGATGAAAGGCTGGTATATGAATCAGCTATCAACTGGGTCAACTATGACCTGAGCAAGCGTCACTGTTACCTCCCCGAGCTATTGCAGACAGTGAGACTGGCCCTCTTGCCAGCTATATACCTTATGGAGAACGTGGCCATGGAAGAACTTATCACCAAGCAAAGGAAAAGCAAGGAGATTGTAGAAGAATCGATAAGATGCAAGTTAAAGATCTTACAGAATGATGGAGTGGTCACTAGTTTGTGTGCCAGACCCCGTAAAACTGGACATTCGCTTTTTCTTTTGGGTGGCCAAACCTTTATGTGTGACAAGCTGTACCTGGTGGATCAAAAGGCAAAGGAGATCATTCCAAAGGCTGACATACCAAGTCCACGGAAAGAGTTCAGCGCTTGTGCCATAGGCTGCAAAGTGTATATCACAGGGGGACGAGGGTCAGAAAACGGAGTCTCCAAAGACGTGTGGGTGTATGACACCCTTCACGAGGAGTGGTCGAAGGCTGCTCCCATGCTGGTAGCTAGGTTTGGGCATGGCTCTGCTGAACTTAAGCACTGTTTGTATGTAGTAGGAGGACACACTGCAGCAACTGGTTGCCTTCCAGCTTCCCCTTCAGTATCCTTAAAGCAAGTAGAACAATATGACCCCGTGACCAACAAATGGACCATGGTTGCCCCGCTGCGAGAGGGAGTAAGCAATGCAGCTGTGGTCAGCGCAAAGCTCAAGCTGTTTGCCTTTGGAGGTACCAGCGTTAGCCATGACAAGCTGCCCAAAGTTCAGTGCTATGATCAGTGTGAAAACAGATGGACAGTACCAGCCACCTGCCCCCAGCCCTGGCGCTACACAGCTGCAGCTGTTCTGGGTAACCAGATTTTTATTATGGGCGGAGATACCGAATTCTCTGCGTGCTCCGCTTATAAATTCAACAGTGAGACATACCAGTGGACTAAGGTGGGAGATGTGACAGCGAAGCGAATGAGCTGCCATGCAGTGGCGTCTGGAAACAAATTGTATGTGGTTGGAGGCTACTTTGGCATTCAGAGGTGCAAAACGTTGGACTGCTACGATCCCACATTAGATGTATGGAACAGCATAACAACTGTGCCCTATTCTTTAATTCCCACGGCATTTGTCAGCACATGGAAGCACCTCCCCTCATAATTGTGTGTGTGTTGCAATTACAAATTATCAGGTAAGAAATAGCACCTTTGAATTCCGCTGTAATAAAGCTTTTCACAAAGCATTTCAGCAGCAGCTCTGAGGAGGGTGAGTATATCCAATGCAATTTTACCGCTGGAGCAACTGAGACTCTCATATTCACAGGCTATTGTAAGCCAGGCACCATGTCTGTGACAAAGCCAAGATGCTGGAAGTAGTTTGCCTCATATCTTGCAGCCACTTCTCTTTAAGGGGCCTTTTCCTGCGAGATTTAGATGTTGAAAATGTTATTTTTGCTCAGTCCTTTACCTGTGTGGAAGGGCAGAAAATTTGGAAATTGAATCCTGCTCTGCGTTTAGATACCAAATGCAAGTTAAACAAGGGTTCGGTGCCTTGTTCCTGATGACAGAGGCCAGGTCGCTCCATATATCCAGTCACAGGGCCCCAGAAAGCTACTGTAAATTCTGATCTCAAGCCCGATAGTGAATTCACTTGAATTTCCAGGCAGACAGCATGCTTTCCCCATGCAGACAGCCTTTGGGGAAACTTGCCATCTTATGAGAGGCGTTTTACAGGCACTTCAAGCCTGATTTTCCATCTCATCCAGACAGCATGCTTCCATCTGTATGGACAAAGGTTGCGTTTGCTCCATTGATATACTTTAAAATACAGATTTTTTAAAAATAGTTACGGTCATATATATTGGACTAGATACTAGTGTTGGGAAGACATATAATTAATATTGCTGGCTGAAATAATTACCAGTCTATAGCACACACTGTTCCAAAACAATTTAATTATACATAATGGGCCAAGCTCTTACCAGGTGCAACTTCAGCATTGTATCTTTTCACAAGCAAGTCTGAATTTGGCCTTGCTTGTTTTGGTTGTTGCAAATTTCTGATTTTTAGGACAAAGGGAAAAAAGGTTCGTTTAAAAAATAATACTAAAAAATCTGGGTACTTACACATAGTATTTTTCAAATCTGTTCGTTTTCATGCTAACCACTAATTGTTACTTCAACTATTACTAATTTTTCCTTATTTTATCTGTTCTAGAGTTACATCTCTTAAAATAAGTCACAGGCATTTTCCAGAACTATTAATTGGTGTATTTTGCAATAAATCTGGCAGACTCCCCTTAGTGTTGTGTTGCTGTCTTCCCCTGCTCCCCCCTTCAGATTTTAGTACAGAATCACAGTTACCACCAGCCAGCCAAACAAATATAGTGGCATGCTTAATCCTAAATAATCCATGCCCTGTGAACAGTAGTTTCTTTTGGGATTTGAACAGTGTATGGTGTAACCATGAAGGCAGGCAGGTTAGAAGGAACAAGGCAAATAGATGCAGTTGCAGTAATTAAATGAGCTCTGCCTTTGCATCTAAGTTACCTAGAAGTCCAGACTGATGGAAGTTCTCCAGGAAACAGGAGGAACAACTTGCGTATAAAGACTTTAGGTTCTTCTGTTTGGGACGGACTGTATTTTTTTTTCTGGTGTCTTTTGCAGCTGGAGACACTTGCCTGACTCTTGCAGTAAACATGAAACCCGAATGTCTTTGAAGCAGAGTAGATAGAAGTATATACCTAGAAATGTAGGGTAGTCGTGACATTCCTTTTGCTGTGATACACTAAGGATTCGTCTTGTAGTTGTCTTTCAGCTGACTGGGAGCTTTGATTGAGTAAAGGATACGAGGTTGGGCTGGTGCAAAGCAGCAGGTCAGTGTGGAAATCTAGTGTGAAATTAGGCTGTGTTGAGCCATCAGCTGCTCTTGTCTCAGGTGGCTGTTTGTCTGGAAGACACTGCCCACTCTCCACTCCTTGCTTTGTTTTTCCCAGACTTACTCTTGGGAAAGCAGAGCAAACCCTTGAGACTTAACCAGATCCTGGGTGCTGGGAGTAATTGCGCCCCCTGACAGCCCGCAGATGGAAGCCCTGATTTCTGTGCGGTGGCTTCCTCCCTAGCTGGGAACAATGTCTTGACATCTTCTGTTAATTTCTATTATTACTGACTTTCAGCAGTTCTCAGTGTTATCAGAGCAGCAGTATTGAATGCCCTGACTCAGGTCTGTGCCAAGAAAAATATTGACTTATTCTTCTGAGACTGACTTAATTGTTCTGAAGTTTACACTACATGAGAGGGAGTGCTTTATTTTGAAAAAGAGCCCTCAGAATATAACGGTGCAAAAAGCTTTCCTTTGCTCTGCAGTATCTTGTTAAAAGACATTATTTTAGGTTCACTAACGCACAAGATAACTGGCTTAACTAACACATAAGATAACTGGCTGAATGCAGCCGTAGACTGAAATCTCTCCAATGCTGCGTGCTCATCCAGCAAGTAGGGTTTTTTTTTTTCTACTGGCTCCTGCTGCTTTGCCAGTGGGTGGGAGGGACAAAAAGGAAATTACTTCTGATTTTCCTCTGTTT